CTCTGTGGCGTGCTTCTCCTTCTCAACCTTGGCCAGCGTCAGCTCAAGGTCGTCTATGTCTTTCTTCAGTTCTGAGCACTCATCCTCCAGTTTCCTCTTCTTGGCTGTCAACTCAGCATTGATCTCTTCCTCATCCTCAGCTCTCTCAGTCACCTCCTTGATTTTGGCCTCCAGCTGGATTTTGTTTTTAATCAGTTGTTCACACCTTTCTTCTGCGTCGGCCAAGCTATCTGCTTCCTACAGAGAGATTTATTAAGCTATTTAGAGCTGGGAATGGTGGCAAATGCCTGTAATCTTAGCACTTTGGGAGGCTGAGGCAGGATGATGGCAAATTCAAGCCCGGGCAAGGCAATTTAGCAAGAGCTTGTTTTAAAACTTGCAATCCAGTACAAAAGGCTGGGGTGTATCTCAGTGCTAATGCCCTGGGTTCAATTCCCAGTACCATTAAAAAAAAGATATTTAGAATATTTCTTATTTATTTTAAAACTTTTTAGTTGCACAAAATGTTTTATTAACTATTGTTGAATATTTCATTATGAATATGAATTCAATTTTAATTGAAATTATGGCATGTTCTGGAGAAATTTAATTAATTATGAAGAGGCTTAGGTGAAGAGCTTGTGGTCTTATGCTTGTGGAAAAATATAACCTTTGTGTAAGGGAAATTATCAGAAGGAAAAGTTGAAAATAGTTTGATATTTGAGGAAAACTGCTCTTTTCACAGGGTACTTTATAATGTTGTGGGGCTTGCTGGCCAGGGCGATGAGAAGGTACATTTAGTCTGAGTACTCGGTCCTAATTTACTCCCCAACCTGACTATTATTGTTCCTTCCACCCTGACTACAGCTCCTTCTTAGACTCTGGGTCAGGGAGACCACTGTGCAGTATTTTCCATGCTAATAGTTCAGGGCAAATACGTCTGAGGCAACAGGTAAAATATCTGATTGAGATTTGAAGGCTTGGCTTTCAATTGCTTCCTTTGTGTGATTAAATTTTGTGATGTTATTGAATAAATGCTTCAGTCTTTCCTTTTCTCTCTGTAACTTGGAAGTAACTGTGTCTTTCCATCCTCACAGAATATTGAAAGGTAAATGGACTACTAAAAAAATCCTTGAGTATTTTTTCTTTCAAGACTGGCCACCCAGAAGTTAATTTGTGTGTATTCCGGAAAAGGTACAGTCACATGGTGTATTCAGAAAATGGAATACTCACAGACTGAACCTGGATTTGCAGGTCATTTTTCTCTTTCAAGAGAGTGACCATTTTTTCCTCCAGCTCCTTCCTTTTTGCCTCTGACTTGGCGAGCTCGTCTTTGGTTTTCTGGAACTCTTCCTTTATGGTGGCCATCTCCTTCTCAGTTTCTGCGCTCTTGAGCAGGGGCTTGATCTTGAAGAAGAGTTTCATCCAGGGCCAGTGCTTGACGTTCATGAAGGCGCGGACGTTGTACTGGATGCAGAAAAGGGCTTCTCTGAAATGACGTAGAAATACTAGTTTAGGTGGATCCATGAGAGGGAATGTTGTTATTGACTACACACAAGCTCCCTTTCCTTTTAATGAATATCCCCACTTTATGATTTATTATACATGATATTTTTATGTTGGATATAGAACTATTTACACACACATATACACACGTGTGCACTCTCACACTCATGCTCAGAGCTGTCCTTAGTATAAGTGCTTTGCTAACGTGAGTACGGTTCATGGTCAGCTCTTTTGTGTTCTCCGTCCCTGTCAGACTAGCAGAGAAGGTAAATTAGGAGGGAGATACTTCGAATGTGTGAGCAGCACATAGCACTTTAAGATCGCTTGATATTTCACAATAGTAGTGACTGGGGAGTGGGTGTCATGCTGCAAGTTGATTGTGCTGCTATGCTGTTGGCACATGGACAGGAACTATGACACAGCCTAAGTTGCTTCTTGAATTGCCTCATCTAATGCTGTGCATAGATTTTGTCATCTCAGTCTTTAAACTTCTCTTTTTTGATCACCCCTGAATTAGTCACTCTTTTGTTAGCTTCTTTAGGTAATATACTGGCTTTTCCAAATTCTTTCCTTTGCTTCTGTCTTATCCATTCAGTTAGATCATTAATATTTAGAGGGAAGTTAGCATGAATTGTACACCAAATTGGTTTTATTTAAATAGAATTTAAAAATTATTAATAAAGATTGGCTTTCTGCAAACTGCAGCAACAGAGGAGCAAAGTTTTGTAGCAATGTTTATGTCTTAGCTTAGGTTGACCAGGCCTGTCAACTTTCCTGTGAAAGTGGAAATTCTGTCTATAGGTCCAATTTTTAAGAACTGTAAGTCTGAGGGGACTGATACCATGACACAAAGCATAACAGAGACCCATGGAAAAGCCTTGATTACACTATAAAGCAGACCGAAAGATGAGAAAAGTGAATGCAAACTGTGTGTGAGGGAAGGAAACGCAGCAGTGTAGTGGATAAGCCTGGCTAGCTTAATTGCAGAAAGACAAAAGGGAATTTTTGAACAGATAAACTTGGAGGAGGGAACAGGACTTGTGCAAATATGAGAATAAGAGGTCAGCAGCATGTTGCACAGCCTGGTTGGAAGAGACTATGTGGTTGAAAATGACAGATCAGGTGGGGAATAGAGTAGCCTTGACAATCAGTAAGGCCACTTGGATTTGTCATGGGATGCCACAGGGAGCCAGGAGTTGAGATACAGCATGATCAAAATAATGCTTACTGCATGCTGTGCCTACAGCTGTATGTGACATAGATGGAAGAGGAGAAATTGGAGACAGGAGAGAAGTTTTGGAGGGACTCCAAATGTGAGGGGAAAAGCGAAAGCCATTGTGTTCTAGGGGTGAACGGCACACATAAGCCACAAAATGAAAGAACTGATGAATGAAGAAGGTTGATTGATAGCCAAGGGACATCATAATCCTGATATTCTACATAGTTATTACCTCCTCTGCAGCATTTTCTGATATTCCACCCTCATTAGGAATCCCCTACAGACAGCTTGTGTTCTTGTTATAATCTGAGCCAGCTTTTCATCTCTCATTTCTTCCAGGAGACCCAGAAGGCCAGCCTTGAAGAAAACCTGGAGAAAGGGAGAGTCACAAATCATCCTGATATTGCGGGAGACAAAGAAGTGACAGAAGGTAGTTGGATTAGGTGTAAATAAATAGAGCTGTACCTTGGTATGTCCAAATTTATATTGAGTGTGATCAATATCAATAGAGGCCAGAAGTTTCTCAGAAGCCTTCTTGCTGTCAATGAATTGTCCCTCTGGAATAGCACTGGCATTTAAAACCTTGTATCTGCTCAGTTAAGCAAGGATAGAATGGTTAGGAAGATGTGATCACATATGCAAGTAACACCAAAAAGAAATACTGACAAAAATCCAAGAGCAAAAGTACAAGTGGATAATCCAACTGTCCATTAAGATCAAAGCAACATGACTATTTTTGTGTTTGTCCTGCATATTATTTTTCTAACCTATTAGTAGTCTATCTTCTTGCCATGCGACTGTATTATTCAACTCCTTAAATTTATAACATATATATTAAGTAGGATACATTAAATATAGTGAACAGAGGACAACAACTAAGGCGGTGAAATATTTACAGCATTTAGTGAAATACAACAGGGAACTGACCTCTGCTTAAAATCCCCATATAAGATTCTGCTTGGGAACCCTTTCCTGCAGATGCGGATTCCTTCCAGCACACCGTTGCACCTCAGCTGGTGCAGGACAAGTTCATGCTCCATGACACCTGAAAACCGAAAAGAGAATTTAACTACTGGGCACTGTATTTTCAAGCCTGTGCCTGTTTAGTACTTCATGTTCTGTGTCTTACCAGGAGTTTTGGTTTCATTGGGAATGATACACCGTACAAAGTGGGGATGTGTGCTCCTCAGGTTGGTCATTAGTTTATTTAAATTTTCCTAGAAAATCAGATGAAAAGGACTTGATGAGAAAGTTCTGTTTCAGGTTGCTTTCTTGGTAATCATATGGAATGAACCCAGCCATTCTCTTAACTAGGCATATGAGGCTTCAATTGCTCTGTGTTTTGAAGGTCTCAGAATTCAACCTTGCTAAATAACTAAAAGGCCAAAGTGTTTGAAGAAACACACACCTCCAAGGTGTTCATTTATAACACCTTTGTTCTGTCTTATAAACAGACTGCAAAGTGAGTAGCCTTGATACACAGGAAGTGCTCTCAACTTGGAGCCAGAAGATAAAAGACTGTGGCCTTGCTTTGCCAATAACGAGCTGCCTGACTATAAAGTCCCCTTTGTTTCCTCGGGTTTCATCTGAAAATGGCTGAGATCATTGCTAAGGTCTCTGTCACCTTTTTTGGTGCTAATAATTTTCAAAGTAGCAGGCCGTTTACAGGGGTAACCTAGGCTAGCAATGGCCCAGTTTTCATAACTCCTTGCTCTACTTTATTATTCCCTGGGACCTCTATTCTTTTCTTTTCTGTTTGATTTGTTTTGAATAGTCTACAATTGTGAGACTAAATAACCTTGTGGATCTTGGGTACTTGAGACAATGTACAGGCTGACACATATGGAAGGGGTTGTTCCAGAAATAGGGTAACTGATAATGACAGAGTATGTTTCATTCAGCCATAGGAAACTTGCATGTCAATATTTCTCAATATTCCTTAGGTATATGCTTTAGGAAGGCACTTTTTTTCACGTCTGAGTTAACCCTTAGGAAATATAAATAAGTAATGTGAATTTCTAATACTGAAAACATACACAAAGGCAAGTTGGTGAGATAATGAAAATTAGTGGTGACAAAAGTAAAAACAAGAACTGTTTTTTCTTTAGGTCATATGTCATATCTGCATTTTAGATTTGAAAAAAGTGAGACTTAACCACTATAAATTCTCATAAAGTAGTCATTAAACTAGACATCGTATACACTTTTCTTTGGGAGAACCAATTTCAAATAAGAAAATCACATTGCTTTGTAGTAAAATTATTATTCTTTTGATCTCTAGAGTTGTTTTTTTTTTTAACCTTAATCATCTACTTAATCACTAGGCTTGGCTACAAAGGATTTTCAGCTATTACACAAAACAAACAAACAAACAAACAAAAAACCTCTCCTCAGAAGACAAAGGGTTTTTTTGGTGGAATGATGTTCTAGAGAGTGTATTGCAGGCCCGTCCTTAACACAAAATTCAGGAACATTCTCAATGAGCAATGTTAGAAGTGGGAGAAAATTACTGCAGGGACAGTTGTGAAGTTCAGCTACCCTTCCTTAAAACCAGCCTCATTATATAATAATTTCCTAAAGACATTTTGGCATCCTGAGTACATTAGATAATCATGGTAAGAAATAATGTCGGCTGGTAGTGGTACTGGTTTGTAATAGTATAAGCTATTCTGACAAGTGTGACTATTTGAGTGAATCTTATTGACATTCCATTCCTTCCTAATTTATTATAAATCCTGTAATTATCTTAATTTACAGAAACTGAATAGATTTTTCAATTTAAATTTGTACTTTACCCTGAAAAGGGCTGACACAGTCTGGAATGAAGAACCCTTCTTCTTAGCACCTTTCTTTGCACCGCTATCTGAGGTAAAAAGAAAACCGATCGATCAGAGTAACATCCCTGAGGTTGGACTGCGGGAATATATTTAATTTAGAGTAAGGACACAGAGAATACCTGCTTCAGCAGTAGCATAAGTGGAAAACAGACTGGCCAGAGTCTTCATTGCTGACTTCTGGTATAATCCAACCACAGTGTCATTCAGAGGGTCCTTGTTCTTATCCAGCCAGCCGGCAATATTGTAGTCCACGGTGCCGGCATAGTGCACCAGCGAGAAGTGGGCCTCAGCCTTGCCTTTGGCGGGCTTGGGCTTCTGGAAGTTGTTGGACTTGCCCAGGTGCTGGTCATACAGCTTGTTCTTGAAGGAGGTGTCTGTTGCCTTGGGGAACATGCACTCCTCCTCCAGGATGGAGAAGATGCCCAGTGGCTGGATTCAGAAAAGCAGATATTGACATCAACTTCACTTCTCTCTAGTGATATAGATGTGGTGGCTGTCATTCCATTGCCTAATGAGCTTCCACAATTCCACATGTAAAGTAAATGAGAGCCACAGCTCGAAAAGTGGCTTTGTTATCCCTAGAGTGACTTCTGTAATTCCTTCTCACATTCCTTCTGTAGCACTATTTTCAATTAAAAGGATGGCTGGGTACAGACTCCAGAGCTTAGCACAGCACTGGGGGCTGATTTGTTAGAATATTTTCAATTATTCTAGTCTTTTTCTTATTAAATGAATAAATTTGCAGTCAGAGTTTCTATATGTCCAGTAAAAGACAATATAAGTAGCTCCATCCCTATTTAAGATATTTTCTATATTTAATCTTCTTTAACTAAATTATGAAGCAGCATGAAATATCTGACTTCTTGATTCTAACAGGTTAGCTTTCACACAGCTGTAGTGTCAGTGCATTAATTTTTATTTAGAAAAATATTTCTATTCAATATATCTTGGGTAAAAATATAGATAGATTAGAACTAATGAAGCAGACTCAGTTTTCAGTGTTGCTTTCATGTTGGGCTTGGTTTTCTGATTTTTCTTTTTTTTTTTTTTTTTTTTGCAAGGGGTCCTACTGAAGGAATTGTCCGAGTAGATATTACCAACGAAAGAGAATCACGATACATTTTTTTTTTTGAGACAGGATCTTGCTCTGTAATTCAACCTGGCCTTGATCTCACTCTGCAGCCCAGGCTGGTCTCAAACTCACAGCAATCTTCCTACCTTAGCCTCCCAGGTGCTGGGATTACAGACATGTGCCACCATGCCTGGAAATGTTGGGTTTGAGTCAGGATTAAAATAACACTAGTTAGAATAAACCACTTTCAATGCTTTTTATGTAAAAGTCATAAAGAGGAAGTGATTTCTAATAGTAATTTCCCAATATCTTTAGATCTCAAACTATTTGAGATTTACAGTGATACTTTCTAGAACTGCCACATCATCTGTACCAGCCATCTTTACAGCCTGACCTTTCCCTAGAAGTCAAGCAAACCTTCTCGATGAGCTCGATGCAGGCGGCCAGGTCCATCCCGAAGTCGATGAACGTCCACTCGATGCCTTCCTTCTTGTACTCCTCCTGCTCCAGCACGAACATGTGGTGGTTGAAAAACTGTTGCAGCTTCTCATTGGTGAAGTTGATGCACAGCTGCTCCAGGCTGTTGAACTACTCAAAACACAGAGATTCTCTTCATTAAATGGGTTTTATACCAGTAAAATTTATTGCTGAAAAATTTTTTATAGGATAAAATTTGGAATAGAGTAGTAAGATACAAGTTAAACTTAATTGTTCTTCCTTCAAAATTCCCAAGAAAATATAATCATGATTGGCATGAGGCTTTTTCATAAAATCTGGGTATTCCTTAGGGGCCTTGAATTACACCAGTTTTGCAGAATCCACCTCCTTTCATCTCTTAGATCGCATGGGCAAGTGGTTAAAATGTAACCACAGTCCAGTGTGTTACAGTTTGGGTTTGAGGGTGAGAGAGAAAATAATTTATTGGGAATCCTCTTTTCTTTCACCTCCTCCCTCCAATTCAAAATAGAGTTCACATTTTCAAACTGGCTCTCACATTAATAAGAAAAGCATATTTTATTTTATTTTTTTGGTACTGGAGATCGAACTCAGGAGCTTATGCTGTCAGGCAGGCGCTTGTATTGCTGAGCTATATCGCTGGCACAGAAGAGTATGTTTTAAAGGTGATGTATAAAGAGAAATGAATTGGCTAATTTCTATTCATTTCAAATATTGGCAAATACCCTTGTCTAATCTATGAAAGTAGGGACCTGGTGCACTCAGCAATTGAAGATCTGAGTCTTTGCAATATTTTAATCTCTTATTTTACCCATGAAAAAACCAGCATTCTGGAGGTGAGCTGGTTTGTATAAGTTGAACTTGGAAGAAGAGAGACTGTTATATGTGTCTAGGCATGTACCTTTGGGCCTTTTCTCTTCCTGGATGGCCCAAACACTATAACTCTAAGTTCTTAGCTTGGCTTCGGCTTATATGCCTATGGAATGGTTCATGAGTGTTTTGATATCCCTGCAATGCAGCTTCTTCATATGCAACAAAGATTAATATTAACTACTCCTCCTGGGTTGTTCTGAAGATTAAATGGGGTAACCTTTTGAAGTCTGTAGGATAGAACCAGAAATATATTGACTGACAAATAAGTGTTAAGTATTATTATCGTTACTGTCTATTACCTGCTAGGTATTTTGGATGTAAATCTTGTTCTAGGTGCAGTATCAAAACAATGTGGGTGTTACAAACACTAGTGTATATCTAGTATATCGAGGCCACATTTGCCTGTCTCTCATTTTTTATTAATATGAAGATAACTCACATCAAAGATCTCAAAGCCAGCAATGTCCAAGACTCCAATGAAGTACTGCCTGGGCTGCTTGGTGTCCAGCTGCTGGTTGATGCGGGTGACCATCCACAGGAACATCTTCTCGTAGACAGCCTTGGCCAGAGCACCCACTGCATTGTACACCTTCACAAAGATAGTATTTCTCTTTCACATTTTAAAAGACAGGTCTTGAAGACATGTCTTGGTGTGATTTGTTGAAGTCAGGTACTTACCTGTTGCACGGTCTGGCCTTTGGTGACATACTCATTGCCGACCTTGACTCTGGGGTAGCACAGGGCTTTGAGCAGGTCAGCAGAGTTCAAACTCTGGAGATAGGCCGCTTTGTCAGCAACTGCAGACACACAAATAAAACAAAATGATGTTTAATGGTTCATATTCTCTTTAAGCTAATCTACCCACTTTTCCTACAATCAATTTTCTGTATTTAAATAAAAAGTTTCAAGGTGTTCTGTTCAAGGTCAAGTGAGGCTCCTCGTATGTGAGAGCATGTACTTGTCTCTAAATATTTGGATTCTCATCTGAGTTTTCTCTCCCAATTTATCCTTAGAAGGGATTCATTTCTTTTTCTGAAAATGTGGAGATTAAAATTTACTGAGTGGTCCTCTCTAAATGCCCTATTTCAGTTTCAAAAAGTAACTTTTGAAAAGTTTAGAAGAGAGAGAATGTCAGACTGGGCTGGTCAGAGGAGGCTTTAAGAAACAGATAATACCTTCTGTAGTAGGTCACATATACTGCATGTTCTTTCCTTATGTAAAGTACACAATTCTGGGGGAAGGGTTTGAGACAGGGTCACATTATGTAATTCAGGCTGGCCCTGAACTCACTATGTAGCCCAGACTGGCCTCGAACTCGCATTGCACACTCATGAGTATGTCTATTTGAATCCATTTGATTAGATTTCAGCTGGGGAGAAATGAGGAAGATGGACATAGGAGGAAGGGAATGGTGAGGGAAGACGCAGTGTGCATAAATGTGTAAATGCCCGTTGGAAGTTCAGGTACAGAGGAGGTGCATGTGCAGTGAAGGATTTAATTTTTTTTTAACTGCATGTTCTTATTTGAACTCGAATGTAGATTTGTTTGTTACCTTCCGTGCCATCTGGCTCAGCTTGCTCCTCACGCTGTTTTTGCTTAAACTTCATATTCCCGTAATGCATCACAGCCCCTGTGAGTTTATAGATGGACACTTTCTCCTCAGGAGAGAAGCCCAGGATGTCAATGGCACTCTACCAGGAAAGATGAGAGGACACAGACTAGGACAAACGGCATTGCTTACTTAGAATTTATAGTACTGTCCAAAGTGATCATACCTACACCGTAGTGGCTTGCTATTATTTTCATACACAATGGATTTATTTAAAACTGTGCTTTCATGTGAATGTATGTATGCATACATACATGTGCATGTGTGCCTGTGTGTGTGTGTGAGAGAGAGAGGGAGACAGAGATAGATAGATAGAGAGAGAGAGAGAGAGAGAGAGGGAGTGAGGGAGAGACTGACTTACATCAGTGGCCATCAGCTCTTCTTGGTCATCAATGCTGGGGACTGTGATCTCTCCTTGACTGATGAAGGCATAGTCGTATGGGTTGGTGGTGATCAGAAGCATTTCTGGGTACACAGAATTTAGGGCATATGTTTTTTGTTAGAAATTTTTAATAAAATATGAACTTCCATCTATGGGTTTAAATTCTTACCAATTAGATCTGGCTTCTTATTGGAAGTGATCTGATAAAAAATATGGTAGCTTCTTTCCGCCTTTAGCTGGAAAGTGACTCTAGACTTTTCTAGAAGATCTGGAAGGAGAGAGAAAGACAGATTGAACTAGAACAGATGTCTCTTCTTCTGGCATACTAAATGAGCCTCATTGTCTTTGGCCAGAACTGGGGACAGTACACCTGGCTCCACTGAGATTTCAACCTGACAAGCCAGCCGGTAGAATCACAGATGCTTATGGCAATTCCCAAAGCTTCTCATTGTCTAAGAGCAGCAGCTGAAGTATTCCTGCTCTGGGACAAACCAAGTTCCATACAGGGAACCTATGACTTCTATGCTTTAGCTGGTGTCTAATATCTCTCCCTTCCTCATATTATTTCAGATTCACTCTGTTGGGAGGGGCTACCTTGGACAGAGCTACCAAAGTTCAGATCAAGAGCAAATCACAAAGGCATATTTTGATCACCCTTGTAGACCCACAGGTCCTGTCACTCACAGGTTTCGATATCAGCAGATGCCAGCTTTCCTGTAGTACCAAAATGGATTCTAATGAATTTACCCTTGAAAAGAGAAAAATGATTTAGTATTGAAAACTTGAAGTGCACAGAGAGCTGCAACAGAAGCTATAATTCAGACATGGCTATTCTGGCACATAAGGACTGAACACATCCTTCTGTGAGCAGGAGACTTACAAAGCGGGAGGAGTTGTCGTTCCTCACGGTCTTGGCGTTGCCAAAGGCCTCCAGTAGGGGGTTGGCGCTGATGATTTGATCTTCAAGTGTCCCCTGCAAAGGAAAGAGCAGTTCTTGCATGGGACCCAGACTTCCAAGACACCCAACAGGGTCCTGATTCTCACTCCAGCTACAGACTCACCTGCATTTTGCCAGGTTCCTCCTTCTTCTTGTCCCCAGTAACTGCAATTGTTGCAAAGTACTGGATGACACGCTTCGTGTTCACAGTCTTCCCTGCACCAGATTCTCCACTGTTAAACCAAAATCAGAAGAGATCAAAACTATGGTCCACGTTATCAACATCTAAGACAATCACTGCAAACAAAAGAGAAAAAAAAATCGCATACGTGATCAGGATGGACTGGTTCTCACGATCTGTGAAAGAAACAAGGTCACCATTAAAAAATGCACATCGAGTAGGGAGATGATGGAATCAGTTCAGCTGACCCAGCATGTCTTGTTCTTTTTAACTGTTTGAAGATGTTGCATATGATTTTGTGTTTGTGTTTAGTTACCAATTGCCCCCTCTCAGTTAAAATTGTGAAACTGAAAAGCAAAGAGTCATCTATGTTGTTTTATTATTTTTCATCATGATAAAATACACATAACAAAAAACTTACCATCATGCCCACTTTTCAGTGTGCAATACAGTGATATTAAGCTCGTTCATGATGTTGTGCAACCATCACCCCCCTCTATTTCCAGAACTCTTTTCATTTTGTAAAACTGAACCTTTATCCGTTGATCAGTAATTCCCTAGTACTTGACCACTACCACTTTGTATCTCTGTGTGTTTGACTACTCTGAATACCTCATAAATGGAGTCAATAGCATTTGTCTTATTTGTGACTTATTTTAGTCCACATAATATCCTGAAGGTTCACCCATGTTGTAATGTATGTCAGAATTTCTTTTTAGAAGCAGTATTCTATTGTATGAATGCACCGTACTTGCTTATCTGTTCATTTTTTGATGGATCTTTGGGTTGCTTTCACATGTTATGATTGTAAGTAAAGCTGCTATGTATATGAGTGGACACATAGCTCTTTGAGATCTTGCTTCAGTTGGTTTGGTTATACACCCAGAAGTGGGACGGCTGAGTCCTCCTGTAATTATATTTTTAATTGGTTGAGGAATCACCTTAGTGTTTTCCACATGAACTGCACTGTTGTACATTCCCACAGAGAGCACACAAAGGTTCTAATTTCTCCACACCCTTGCCAACACTTGTTATTTCTATTTTTTAATAGTAGCCATCCTAATGGATGTAACATGCATATTTCATTAACCTTTAAAAACTTTTCATGAAAAATTTTTAACATACACAAAGAGGCAGACAATACCGAGCCCCCTGTATGTCCATTTTACAGATGCAGTAATTATTAACACCTAGCCAATTTTATGTCATATCTGCCCCATCCCCGTCTTGGTAGGTTAATTCTAAAGAGGTCCTCAGGCATCATATATCATTTTTTGTTAAATACTTTAAAATGAATCACAGAATTTTAAGATCATACTCAAATCTTTCTACTTTCAGTTTATATGTTTTTCTGTTACCTGGTTTCCCGGTTTTTGAAGTCACTGATTTGACTGCCGATGATAGTAAATGACAAGTGGTGAACTGTGAATGAATGAACTGCAAATGTTTGTGTTGATTCTCTTTTAGTTTCCTTTTGACATTTATTTCTAAATAATACCTATGTGGTTGATATGTTTTATTTATATCTGTTTGCTAATTGTTAAAGCTTATTTTTATGGTGGTAGATTACAGATGTTAGAGAATTCTAAAATCTAAAAATAGTTTTCAGAGGAAATAGATACAAATCTTCACATTACTTGGATGTAGGTATAGACTTTAGAGAACTTTGGTATTCTACTCAGGGAAGTAGATAGTTTTGGATCATATTCAGATTGTTTTTTTCTACCATAAGGAAAATCATGGAAGATCATAATGCATCTAATGGGAGAATAAGTAAGAAGATATTGTTCTGATCTCTTGTAGCAATACTAAAATATCACTAGTCAGGTCAAGCGCCATGGTTACGCATGATTTTATACGAAAATCATGTTTGGGAGCCATAAGTGACCTTGACTTTGGAGAAGCCCCAAAGGCTGGGGCATCAGTTGTGGTGGGAATGTACATAGCTGTGTAAACACAGCTGCTCAGTATTAAAACCTCTGATGTGAGCCAGCATTTGGATAAATTTTGGTTGCTTCTGTGGACAACCAGAGGACAGTGTACTGCTGTGTAGTCTTTGTAGAACTCCTGGCCAATTTGTAATAGGAGATTTCTGTTTTATATCCCCTCCCCCTGCGCCACAAAAGATAAATTTTAAAATAAGTGCAGCAAAATGAACAGACAAAAAGGGGGGAAAATGCTTCAGTTTCAAAATTCCATGAAAAAAGAAAACCCTAGGAAGCGAGGGCATTTAGAGTATTTCCAAAGGCAATACACTTGGTGAGTTAGGATAAAAAGTTTTAGTCCTGGTTTTGGGCCTATAACCTGTATTAAAGCTGACTGTTTATACTTTAATAAGGCAGGAATAGGAGATTTCGGTACAAATTTTAGAAACTGTTTGAAGAAGCTGTGTTTAAATAGATTTGTTTTTCTTTCATTGTGATAGAAAAATGCTGCAAAATCTTTGAGAGGAAAGTTGTTCCTCCCAAAGGAACATTCCTAGGGTTAGCAGTATTAGCAGTGTCATTTGGAAATAAAGATAAACATTCACAGTGTCCTGCAGCTGTGGTGCTGCACGGTGGTTGAGAACTCTTTTTCTTGGTTGCTATGAGTGTGGATATTTAAAAAAAAATTATTTGAGTTTTTTGGTACACAGGTCAGAAAATGAAGAGAATATACAGGAAGCAGTCAGCATGTGTACACAAGTCTACTACTTGTTTCAACTAGGCTTGCACTTCTGTACTAGCTTGGGCAGGACGATGAACTCAGTGAGCTTTGCTTTCTTTACTTGTCTGTAAAAGAGAGATGGCTGCTGGGCAGAGAGGCTAGGGCTATGGAGGCCCTTTAAATACAGCGAAGCTCCCGGTGGCTGAAATGTATCATTATAATAAGACTCAGATGAAGTCTGCTTATTAAGGCCTCCATTACACACTTCTGTAAATAGATGCTTCACTCACTCACCGGTCAGCATGAACTGATAGGCGTTGTCCGAGATGGAGAAGATGTGGGGCGGGGCCTCCTGGCGCTTTTTGCCTCTGTAGGCCGTCACCACCTCGGGGTTGTACACCGGCAGCCACTTGTAGGGGTTGACGGTGACACAGAAGAGGCCCGAGTAGGTCTGGAATAATCAGACATTCAACCTATGCATCTTGCCTCTCTTCAGAACAATAAATGGACAAAAGGCAGCCATTGAAAGGAACTCACGTAGATCATCCAGGCTGCATAGCGCTCTTTGAGATTGTATAGTACTCCAGGCTCGTGCAGATGGGTCATCATGGCCATGTCCTCAATCTTGTCATATTTTGGAGGGTTCATAGGGAAGACTTGATCTTCCCTGACAGTAAGAGTCTGGTAAGTAAGCAGAAGACCAGTTTGAATCAGCAGTTTGAGGAGGAGTTTATGTTTGCTTCCTTATTTTGGTTATAAAAGTGTTTGTGTATATATTTCATCATATTATTCAGTGTCTTTTAAAAGCATACAATGCATTTATTTGAGTGAGAAAAGAAAATCTATTATCAGTGATAAACTAGGAGACTATCTTTTCCCCCGACACATATTACTTGTACATATTAATGGGTTGATTCAGTGTGATGTTCTCATACATGGATACAGCATGTAATTGTCAACTTCAACTACCCTTTTCCTACCCATTGGCCCATGATCCAGCTATCCTATTCCTGGATATATCCAAAGGAAATGAAATCAGAATGCCAAAGGAGAACTGCAGGCCTGTGTTTATTGCAGCATTATTTTTCAGTTTTTCAAAAGATTTTTTCCCCACTATCTTTTTCCCATTGAGATTTATTTATCAGCTTATATCCTTTTATTTTACTGGATTAGGTATTTTACTTTTCCTTGCTATTCATTATAAGAAACTTTTCAAAAAATAACGGGGATATTAATGCATTATCCAAGCAATGAATGAACTAATCATCTACCTATATATCTCTATCTATCTCTATCTATCTATCTCTATCATCTATGTCTATATGTATATCTATATCATCTATATCTATCTACTAGGGATTGAACCCAGGACCTTCATGCTGAGCTACACCCCCAGGTCTTATTATTTTTTATTTTAGGACAGGGTCTCACTAAGTTGCCCAAACTGGGCTCAAACTTTCAACTCTCCTGATTCAGCTTCCCAGCAAAAGTTCTTTTGATAGGAGCGTAGATTTTATTTTTCTCTAGTGTGGAGATTCACACTGGGGAGAGGAGGGACAGAGGAGAATTGAAAATAGTGAGGGAGATAAGTGAACGGGCTAAGTACTCTGGGCAGTTGGGAGGGGGAGCTAGGAGGTTATAGTTGTGGATTCTTTTGCCTTCCAGATCTGATTTCTACCAGCTAAATAGAATGGTGTTTGTTTTGGTAATAGGCTTAGAGATTTCCAGCAAGTGAGGCTTCATATTAAATTGAGGAAGTAGAGAAATAAAATGGGGGCGCATTTTCTCCATAGGTTCTACTTACTGTTCCGCCTTCAGTCTTCACGGTTACTTTGCCCCCTTCCTTGCTTTGGATGGTGCTCTTCACGTAGGATTCCTTGGGCTCCGCCACAAAGACAGACGTTTTAGCATCAAATGGCTTGTTTTGGGCCTCAATCCGCTCCTTTTCTGATTTTCGAAGGTAGGGAGCAGCTTCCCCATAAATAGCCATCTCAGCGTCTGAACTAGAGCTCATGGCTGCTGTTTATTTAGCAGAAGATTCTGTGCTGGGTGAAAAAAGAACGAGGGAGAGGAGAAATAGAAAGCAGAAAACAGAAATGTAAGTTAGGATGCGAAGGGAAAGCGGTGCTGGGCACAGCCTGTACTGTGACTGCTTGTTCCTCCAGTCTGACATCACTGACATTCTGTCATAGTCTAAAGGGCTAGTTTGGAAGGAGAGTGTAGCTTGAGGGCTTGTTTTTAGGTCTTTGTGAGTTTCCTGTCCAGATCGCATATCTTAATTCTCAGGGCTATCTACCTAGAGTTGAATTAGAATGGAATTCTTACATGCTCTTTATATCTGAACTGTAACAATCCTGTAGCTGAGATTCTTAATGGATTGCTTTATAGCAACTGTCATAATTTAATCCTCACTTCTGCGTAATGCTATCTGACTGCCACATACTATGATGGTCAGATAGCTTGGAAGGAAAGTTTGCCTTGTGCAAATGAAGCTTAGTATTTTCAAAGCAGTTAAAAAACATTTTTGTCTTTTAGGTGTCCCTTTTTCTCATAAACCAAATAATTATTTTTAACATCTTTATGTTGATATTTGGTGTTATGTCTCTCAGTGAGTTGTAAAAAGAGCCTTATAATAAATAGTTTTCTGGACTTTTGCATCATTTGGCTTGTTACCAAGTGTCTTAGTATTGTCCTGACTTCCAAATCTCTTTTGTCATTCTCCTTTAACATGAGAGACCTCATCTAGCACTGAACAGATCTACCATCAGAGAAATGAGGGTGTTAGCAGGGAGGCCTTTCTTCATACATACATTCCCGAGGGTTCTTTCTTTCCCAGCAGGAGAAAGACAAAGGCAAAATTAAGAGTTCATCACATGCATGTAAGTTATTTTTTCTGGTTAATAGATATACCTCTGCAGTGTTGATTCAGTTTTCCTTTACTCTGAGGTAGTAAGTAAGTTACTTAGGAAAGGCCAGGATCTTTCTTAAATTATGTGTCTTATTTAGCATTTGGTGGGTGTAATAACTGGTGACTTCTTGAAAGAAAAATAATTTTTATTATTGCAAACAACAATGAATCATCATAGTTGCCAAAATATGGCCTTAGTGAAATGTTTGTGTTGAGATTTTGAGGTAAGAATTTTTCTTGGGTGTTTAAAAGATGTCTGTAAAATGTCTCAGTATTCAGTACTTTGCACTGGCAAGAGGTTGGCTTGGAACAGTCTGCTGTCCCTGCATGGCTGTAAGCGCAGCTGGGAACTCACTGTCAAACTCACTCCATCCTAAACGGTTCTTTTAATCCTGGAACTCAAAGAAGGATATACAGTCCCTGACAATAAGTCATTCTGAAAAAATGATTTTCCAGCATTTACAAAAAAATCACTTGAAAACATTCCGTACTGATAGAACTGAAAAAACATAGAAACGATGTATAACTAAGAGTTGTTTGAAACTTGCTTAGACTAAAGCTCTTGTTATCAATAAAGGCATAAAATCATGTCTTACCTCTGAAGTTCCAGATGAAAATGTAGGGTCAGGACTGTCCCACACTATAAAACAAGAAGTTTCTTGTTAGTGATGCTTTTTAAATCTGGTAATATTGTTACAGAACTAAAATTTCCCTATCCTAAAACTTGGCTCAAGGAAAACAAAAGAAAATTGAGAGGAGAATTTCTTGCTCAGAGATAGCCACATGGTTAGCGCTTTCTGCCCCCCTGGGGTCCTTGGGGTTCCGAGATCCCCAGCACTTACCTCTGAGTTCCGGGTGGAGATAAGACACAAAGATCAGCCCTGTTTATATAGACACTAAAGTGCTGATGCTGCAGCTACCTCCTCTTTGTTAGGGCAAGACATTTGGCAACATGAACCCTCAGCATAGTTTGTAGCGACATTTGGCATGTTTGGATATAATTAGAAGTATTCATATCATTTAGAGTATGTGCACCAATCTCCTATAAATAATTTGTCAGGGACCAATGTGCCATCAGAGAATGCTTTCTGGTGTGCTGGGGAGGGAATCTTTGACAGTGCTTGGTGGAACCTCATAGTCAGTTCTTAAGAGCGATATTCAATTTGGCAAACCCTTTCATGCATGCCTGGGTAACCAAATGAGCAGATACCCAACAACTCGCCGCTGTCAGGGCCATCACCACTTCTTATTCCACCCCACAGGAAGCCCTTCTGCATTCCCTTGGGCCATTGCCATGGCTGATCCTTGGAGACAACTTTGGTCAGCAGAGCCAACTGAGAAGAGCTGCTCTCCTGAGTCCGCAGTGCTGGACCAGTGCCCACTCAGCCAACACTAAAACAAATGATTAGAAATTGATATGTGTTCAATACTGGAGAAAAAGATAAAGAGAAAGAAAGATGTCTTTAATTCCAGTGTGCAGAGATAAAATATAGACATGTAAGAGGGATCATATTATATATAAATCTATAGTAGACCTACGTTTTGCAATCTGTTTTACAAATTATTACATTATGGGTAATTTTCATTTACATCCTCATTCTTTAAACACACTGTATTATTGTTCTTTTTTTGGCTTTTTGAGACAAGTTTTTGTTATGCAGTTCAGGCTGGCCTTGAACTCATTTTGTGCCCCAGGCTGGCCTTGAACTCGCAGCAATCCTCCTGCCTCAGGCTACCAAGGGCTGGGATTACAGGTGTGCACCACCACACCTGGATTAGCATTTTTTAAGGTCAAATATATTGAGACATAACTTTTGTATAGCCTAACTCACCCTTTTTAATGACAGTTACATAAGGTAATTTTTCTTGTACTTTTAAAAGAATTTAAATCTTTACAATAAAATTCACTTCTTTTATTGTGTGGTTTTATGTTTTTACAAATACATTATTTCATGTAACAGCTGTAATAGTATGCAGAACACTTGAAATTTTATCAGTTTTGATAGATATGGGTGGTTGTGTAGCCTCTTACATTTTAATTATGTAAAAGTTAAGGTCTTATAGATCAGGCTAAAGTTCTCCTTCAGTGGAAACTCACAGTACTGTTATCTCTGTTCTTTCCAGAGAATAATCAGGTTCTGGGCTTCATATTTTGTACTGTATTTCTGTGCCAGTAGTACCTACGCTTTGATGTCTAGTAGGACAATTTTTATCTCATTACCAGTTTGGTTTATAGTATTCCAGACATCATCTGTGTGTTTACATATGCATTTTCTGGGAAAATATAAATGAGCAAAACTGGTCTAAGTAAATGAGACCATAGAAAATATACGATATAGACGTTTAAAATATATTATATATATATCACAGTTTATATACTTATCAACATTCCTTTTTATTCTATACCCTTGGATTCATTTCCAGTGTTAGTACATAAAAATGTGGAAAAATTTCAAACATATATAAAAGTAGAGTGTACAGTTTCTCAGCATTGCTCATGATTAATTAGTTCAAGGCCAATCTTATTTCATATATACCCTTCAGCATTCCCTCAATTTTAATGTTACTCATAAAATTTCTGTGTCAAATTCTATGTGTTTGAGATTGTAATCATTTTTACATAAATTACAAGAAGGGTTCTCCTGGTCTAATATGATCTTAATTCTGCTATGGCATCTCACCTTCTAGACTTTATGTCTTCTAGAAGGTCTACATTTTTAAGTAGTCATAATGGCCTCAATTTTTTGTTTGTATTTTTACTTTTTGATGTGTATTGTAAAGAAGGGAAGGCCTCTGGGTCTTACATGTGTTGTTCTGTGTTTTCAGTGTAATGATTTTAAGAAAATGTTGATATTTGTAACCCAGGTCTGTGTACATGTGTTTGTATAAAATCAGGTTTCGGGCTTCATATTTTGTACTATATTTCTGTGCCAATAGCACATAAGCTTTGATGTCTAGTAGGATAAATGTTATCTCATTATTCGTTTATTTTGAAGTCCTCTTGACGATTCCTGTAGTCTACTGCATGAGTTTTAGGGTCAGTTTTCCCCATAATGTGGATAATCCTGTTGGGTTTGGATTTGGTTTAAATTGATGTAGCAGATTTAGTAGATTAATTTGATAAGAACTGATACTTTTATATTATTCTTTGAAGTTTCTCAACCCACACAAATGACATAGTTTTCTTTTTATTTCAAATCTTTAAAAAAATTTTCTTTAGTCAATTTGTTTTAGGTTTTCCCACATTTTTCTTAGGCATATTCTTAGGTAGTATACAGGTTTTTTTTTTTTTTATCTCTGTGTTGAATAGTATTATTTTTCCTATTATGTTTTCTGTTTGTTGCTTATTGCCATGGAGCAGACAAGTTTGCATACTCAGAATTTCAGTTTTGTTTGTGGCGGTGGTGTGTATGCCCAATGAAATCATATGACTCAGATTCCTTTGAACCACGGTGTACCATGTGACACTGTTTGACCAATGAGATGCAAGCAGAAAGACACTTACATAACAGAGGATGTACTGTACTGTACTGTGCTTTATGACTTCTCCCTTTCCCTTTCTTTCTTGTTCCTGTATAGGCTACAGGGGTAATGACTGGAGCTGGAGTCTTGAAAGAAGAATGAGGACAATCTCAGATACTTTCACCTTGACATTTGTGAGCTGAACTTTATTGTGTGAGGAAAAACATAAACCACTAGTTAAGGGCATGGTTTATTCAGATTTTCTGTTACACTCAAACGTATGCCCAAACAGATACTTGGCATTTCACAAAATTATTGTTTTGTGTTATCTTTTATCTGGCTCCCTTGCTGAACTCCTCTATTACTTCTAGCAATTTACTTCCCTTGAATTTTCAGTGTGTCCTGTACACATCATTACAATTTTTTGTCTTCTTCCTCTTTTAGTTTATGTTATTTTTTGCTTCCCTTATTGCATTGTTTTTGACATTCAGGACAACGTAGAATAGTAATATAGTATTATTAGTACTTTGGTACTTGTGTGTAAATATTTGGTACATACTTCATATATATACATGATATATATAGTTTGCCAATAATGTTGATTATAAAAATGAATTAAATGGTTCTATTGCTAGGTATATGCTCAAGAAATGAAAATA